AAAGAGTGTGGTTTGATGGAAATTCCTGTGCTGTTGGTTTACACTTGGAAATTATATTTGAAGAGGCTTTTCAAAAATGTATTTTTCTACCTCATCTTCTGAGAGATATCCATCAGGCACAAAGAAGCCGTCTTCGCTGTCATCTTCATCATCGCCTCTCGAGAATCCTTCCTCCGGACATTCCTCTTGATCATTTTCGCAATCTGAAAGGCTTTCACCAGGCTCTTCCTACAAAACAAGAACATACAGCTGATAGTTAGAGACCCCTTTTCAAGTTTCCGGGAAATAAGCACGTTAATAGTTTCGCACGGCAAGTACTAAGTTTATGCAGAAAGAAATTGAATTACCTCTTCCCATTCTTCATCGCTGTCAATTTCATAATCCAAGTCTGGATCCTTTTTCAGAGGATGTCGTGGCCCTATGACTTGACTGTAAATGTTGAACACGGAATGATCAATTGACAAATCATGACTATAATGTCGCTTTAACTGGAAGCCCGTTTTGTAATAGAATCAAGGGAGTCTAAAGAGCATCATGGAGCCGTATCACTTATTAGGAGCACTACAAACTGAAATCTACAATGCGATGAGAAAGCACACAACCAACATATGCAAGAATGACGGGCCAATCCTAAACATAAGCACACATGAGAGGAAACAACACAATGAAGATTTTTGCAGAAAAATTAGAACATAAAATATATAAAAAGCTTCAGCAAACACAGGATGCCAGCTAACCCTTAACGGCATATTCTGACATAGCAAAAATAAACATGATTCTACCGAAAAGAAATGTTCCCAAAAATTGCAGGTACTGACCTTTGGCATGGCCAGACGCCGTAAAAGGCTGGTCTGAAGCTTTTATCGAATTGTAACAATTGCATGATCCTCCTGGATTTCCTAAGACAAGAGGACGAAGGATCACATTGACTAGCACATGATATGCTGCCCAAGTTCTTCTCTTCCAAAGCATCCTCTTGCTTCCCCATGCTATTTTCATTGTCATGTGTATGTCGTCCCTTATTTGAAGATAGCTTTAGTTCTGGAAAGAGTTCACTCTTAGGCTTCTTACGCATACCCCAATGCTGTTTTGAACTTGACCGTAGAGAGTGACCAAAGAGATGCCAGGAAGCAAAATGCATTCTACAAAGCAGCAAAGATTCAGATCAAGCCAGAAGAAATAGGACATAGAAACGTGAATCTTAATATGTCAATAGCCATTATACCTGCGAAGATCTTCAACGCTAGTTTCACAAACTGCTGAAAAAGCATAGTCCATAGCATGGATAACAGTTTCATTTGCATTTTCATCTCTTGCAGATGATGAAACTGGTGCTGTTACTTTGTCGGAAGGAAGATCATTACGAGTCAAAACTATAGTTTGGTTTTTTTTAAGAAACCGCTCCATAATTGAAGCCTGTTTCTGAACAGCAACTTGCTTCTTTAGCCCAGCTTGCTCCTTCAGTCTACGTTTTTGTTCCCTCTCTGAGTAATCTTGATGATTTTTTTTCCGTTTCCTCAGCTCGGACTCTTCCTTCTCTTTGTGCTTTTCACCATTATCTGCCTCCTGCAGCTCTCTTTCCTGACAATCAAGATAGACACATAGTAAGAACTACATATCATATACGAGGCATAGAAGATCTTCCGAGACGAGATGCTTGTAAAAGAATTTGCAAAGATGACAAAGAAAGAAAAGGATCAACTTACACATTGCAATCTTTCTTTCATCATTTGACGTTCCATTTTCTTTTTTTCCTTCCCAGTCTCCCATCTATTTTTTTCCATTTGTTTAATAAGCATTTTCTCTTCTCGTTTTGCATCTTTCTCAGCCCTAAAAGATCAACCACCATTTGATTAACGTGAAAAAGAAAAATAAGTACAAATCAATCCGAACGATTGAAGGTGCTTACATCTCTGCATTGTTCTTCTGCATCATGTTATCCATGAATGAACGTATATCTGCCTCGCTCAGAATTTTACCAAGCTTTTCTGCAGCTTTGTTCAGGTCATTTCTGCATGATCTTTCGCTCTCCGTCCTTTGAAGTGCCGCTACCATTGCTGAAATGGTCGTAAGAATATATTTTTCATATCGTACACACAGTTAGTGAAAATAATCTCGAGAAGTAACTTACCAGAAACAGCAATAATCCTTTCATGGATCTTCTTCCGACAAATCCGGCGAATTTTTAGCATTCCACGAGCAAATTTGGGTACCATTTTAAGATCCCTCGTCTATCAAAGAAATAATCCATCTCAAGAATTAGATGGTGCCACCAAAACCATAAGTTACACTGAATTCCCATTCCTAGCAGGGTCTACAGATGGAAACCTCACTCAAATGGTAAAGATGCAAATGTTAAACTTTTAAAAAGGAAAAATCCAATCAGCAAACAAGAGGCTAAAGAATATAAGAGGAAGAGAATTATAATCCAATGTGACATATACAATATCTAATAACCTAAGATTTTTTTCCTTCCTGATCTAATCCATGTATTTGGGAATTCAGAAATCATTAACCTCAACTCCACTCTAAGTTACCGAAGAAGAAAAGAACACAAACACCTACATGGATCACAAATATAACAAAATCAAACAAACTTTAATTCTTAATTTCACCATTATGCGATACAGACAGCAGCAATTAAAGAAGACGACATCGTACAGTTACTATGAGACGATAATGATGAATCGTATGAAAAACAAAATCAAGAAAGAAACAGAGAACCATTCGACTATTGATCTTAAAACAACACAATTAACCCAACAAAGCTAAAGATGAAAGGGCTATAATCAAGAATGACAAGATAAAAAAGAACAGCAACCAAATTCTTCATTAACCGTGACTCCAATGCGATAAAGATATGGAACATCAACATTGACCAGAAAAATAACAAATCCAGCAAAGATTACCTCTCAATCTCCATCACTACAAGTTGCGCACTACAGACAACCAATTCATAACCTAAAACACTCGCATTAACTACGAAAGCAGAACAATTACAGAGAACCATAAGCAACATAAAACTATAAAACAAAAGCAAGAATTGAGAAGTGAACCATTAAAATACCTCCCAGCACCAGAGGCAAGACTCTGTCTCATCCTCCAAAACGTCGGCGTCGGCGTTTGGAACACCGTACATAACTCTCTGGCCGACGGAAACCACGGCAGATTTCACCGCCGCCGCCGACAAAGTCTCCATTTTCCCCTTCCCTTTCGTGTAAATCTCATCAACCAACTTTGACAATGGCGAGTTCTTCTCCTCCATCAAAACAGCCGTCATTGCATTCACGGAGGAGCATTCGCTGAACCCTGAAATCAAATCTGGAGCCCGACCCATCAATTCTCGGTAATACCCGAAAAGCCCTTCCATTTCACGCTTCAGCGCTTCAATCTGTGCCTGTTTCTGCTCATTGCTTAAGCACTCCACAGCTGAAGATTCTCTCTTCCGCTTAAGTGATTTCTTCGGCAGATCGAATCCGTTCGTTTTCCCATTTTCGCCGTCCATCCCCGCCGGAGTCTCCTCCATCGCAGCCCCGGAAACCCTAAAATCTCCGAAACCGCCACTCCAACAAAATCAAACACTAACCCAGAAAATTTCACGAGATCTAAAACCTGCACAATGAATCCCACAAAAGAAAAAACACCCAGAGTCTTCTAGCCCGCGCCACCTTGGGTAAGAAAATTTGGATTTCCTCCTGGGATCACACCCAAAGTGACGGAAAATTTCCCCCCTTTTGCTAACGCAATTTTTCTTCTCTCAGGAAGGAATACGAAAAGATTGATCACTTTTTCGAAAGAAATGGGGAAAATGCAAAAAAAAAAAAAAAAGGAACATCGATTTTCCCGCCACATTAATAACCAGTGAATAGCCTGCAAATACAACACGCAATTTCTTCGGTTTCGCGCCACCGTACCGTCGGGGGAAGGATAGGACACACCGAACGGCCCATTAACGGCCCAAAACGTTAGAACTTTACGACGTCGTTTTGTTTCTTGCATGCATGTGCAAATTTACTTTAAACTAAAATGAATACGATTAGAAAAGCATATATTATACTTAAAAACAGTGACAAAAATTGATGGGAAACTAGGTGCGACCAAAGATTTATATAAATTTGTTACAAATAACACAATATATGGTCCATCTAAATTTAGACTTTTAGGTTTTAATACTGATTTGGGTTTTTAAGCTCTTTAAAAGTAACTTTATAATTCATTATTTTCTACTCAAAAAGAAAAAATGGAAAAAGGAGAGAAAACTTTAAAAATCATCTTGGTTTTTGAAATTATTCTGCTGTATTAATATAGATCTAGGCAAATTTTTCGCTCTGCATCAATATAGTTGTGTAAATTATACAAAAATCGATTTTATTGTTTGGGTTTTTATTAAAACCTAATCTCTAAAAACCTAAAATTATCTTTCTCCAAACGTATTCATGAAGAAATCAAAAATTGACAGGTTAAGATATTTATATATATAGTGAATGGTGTTATTAGATTCATTTCAAATACGATGATAATTTTTTCAATTACGTTGGACCGACCGATCGAGAATCCAAATTAATATGCTAAAATCTATCATCTCAACACGATAATTGTCATTATCCAAACTCATGATCCGTCAATTTTGTCAAGATATTTATGATATTCCTTATATATTAATTGGCAATCACTTCCTATAAAAGATGATGTCTTTGGTCGGCCTTAGCATTTAGTTATCCAAAACCCTTTTCTCTTTTTGGGGGGATGATGATTCTGTTATGCCTTGCAGTGCTTGCACGATTCATTTGTATTCATGGAATACAGTTTCACAACATACAATATTTCTTATGTTATTGGATCTATTATGACAATTTACATATATATATATATATATATATATATATATATGTGTGTGTGTGTGCGTGTGTCCCATCGGAAAACAAGGTTCAATTAGCAACATCCTTTTCATTTCGTTAATTTTTCTCTCTATTAATCTAAGAAACTAACGTAAATATATCACGAATTAGGGGTGGGCACGGATCGGATATCCATGATTTTTGGGATATCCGTATCCGTATCCGATCCGCTCAAATATTCGATTTTATTATCCGTATCCGATCCGTAATTTACGAATATCCGAAATTTCGGATATCCGTAAATATCGCGGATATTTGCAAATATCCGTATCCGACATTAAAAATTATAAAAATTAAATTCAAATTTAAATAAAAATTTGAAATATAAAGAAAATATATAAGTTCTTTAATATAAATGTTATTCATAATTTAAAATTTATAATTTAAATATTTTAAATTAATTCAAATACAAATATAATCATAGTTTATCATATACAAATATATTGAAAGTTCAAAATTCAAAAATTAAACATAATAAATTTTAATTTTCAAAAGATTAATATTTTACATCTCAATATATATACAAAATATTTATTAAATATCTCTATAAAATAGATAAGTACAAAGCATTTTAAATTTTTATAGCAAATTATTTTATATTTAATAATATTATTAATTAGTACGGATCGGATCGGATATGTCGGATAATTCGGATTCGATATCCGTATCCGATCCGTATCCGACAAATAATTCAAAATAAATATCCGTATCCGATCCGTAACCTTCGGATATCCGAATTTTCGGTTCGGATACGGTTCGGATAACGGATCGGTTCGGTTTTTCCGGATATTATGCCCACCCCTATCACGAATAGTGGAAAAAAGATAAAGAAATAAATAATTTGTAGAGAATTATGAGAGTTTGAGTTTATATATTAATATATTTCTATTTATTTTAGGTTTAGTTATTGTATTAAGAATTATATTACAAATTTTCAATCTAAGTTTTGATATCTCTTTATAAGTTATCTATGTCCCCCCCTCCCCCGAAAATAATAGAGAAATTCACGAATAGTGGAAAAAAGATAAAGAAATAAATAATTTGTAGAGAATTATGAGAGTTTGAGTTTATATATTAATATATTTCTATTTATTTTAGGTTTAGTTATTGTATTAAGAATTATATTACAAATTTTCAATCTAAGTTTTGATATCTCTTTATAAGTTATCTATGTCCCCCCCTCCCCCGAAAATAATAGAGAAATTCAAGCCAAAATATTAATTATCAGAAAATTAAAAATTGAACTAAAAACAAATCCAAAAGATAAAACGATAAAAAGAAAAGACCCTACCTATGTAAATGAGAAAAAATAAAACGCTAAAAAAATAGTTTGAGCCCTTACATATATATATATATATATAGGGGGTTCCTAATTAATTAAATGCAACTCTAACATAACGACCTTTGGTTTCGTATGTTGCATGGTGAGATTCTCAACAAATTTCGATAAACTCTTCATGAATATAATATATATACACACACTATATGTAACACCATAGGACAAGATACTTTGCACTTTTTTTACCGAGTTAGAACCTCAAATCGGAAAAGATAATAGAAAAAAAGAGTGGAAAATCATTTGATTTCTCATTATTCAACATAGAACATTACAACAATTATAATAGAAAACGAAATCACAACATATCTTATTTAATAAATAAAATATCTAAAATATAGAAACAAAACCAAATCTAAATATTACATAATATTACGTAATTTTCTCAAATCTTCTCCATATTTTTTTATACGTCCCCTCAAACTCAAGGAGATGAGAAACAATTGTTTGATGTTGAATTCTCAAGAAAATAGCGGGATTTGATAATCGAAATAGGGTAAATAGTGGATTGTTGGTGGATCTGAAAAGTCCGGTATGACGCAGAAGCGTGGTGCAATGCACGGTGATGAAGATGAGGAACACGACAGTAATGTCGACGACGCAAAAGGCATGGTGGTTTAACATCTATGTCGGAAAAAAAAAGAAAAGTGGCGCAAATGCGCGCGGTTAAAGCCGAAAAAAAAAGAAAAAGAAGGTGGCGCAAATGCGCGGATCGATGATCGGAGTATTCCAATCGAAGAGGCTAAATGTGACACCCGTAACCCGTGTACAGTATACGGGTTGTGCCACATGGACGATATAAAATAAAATAATAAGTCGCGGAAGCAAAATCACGAAATCCAAAAAATATTTTTAATCAAACCAGAGTAAGCAGCGTAAAATACAACAAGCGATTAGTATCATAAAATACCACATGTCCGAATAGATATAATTTAACCGTACAAAATGCGGGAAATATAAGTCCCGTAATTTTAGAGTTCAAATCCCGTACATGATGCTGCTTCTCTCAAGTCGTCGTCGTCCGGGGCGTTAGGCGTAATCTTCGTGATCTGAAAAATATAAACCACGAGGGCTAAGCACAACTGCTTAGTGAGTAGCCCGGGTTGAACCCGGTCATCCCGTTCCCAGCGAGAACGGTGATAAAACAATGGTATACAAGAAACAAACAAGTAATAACAACACGTATTTATATCACATCAATCGTAATCACACCCGTATGGAGTCCACCATAGGGTTTAGCCATATACCCTAGTCAAGTCCATGACTAGGAGCGCATCCACGCCCGTCAAGTCCATGACGTTGGTCGTCGTGTCGCACACGACTAAAACACGTCTCAATTACCCGTCATGACGGTGATGGTTGAGTCCACAACCATCCACAAACACAATCATGCTTGGCTCGTACGCACGAGGAAGCTACACACATGGCAAACAACGTGCACATATCCCTATAGTACAATGATACGCATCACGACATCCGGTCCCAACCGAGCTACCATTCAACACCATGCAATTCTACCCGCAACCAATCACGCAACGGTCACTCGTATCTCAATATCGCACTCCTCACTACGCTACGCAACGTCTTGGCGAAGGATCGATTCGATTGATCCCAATCACTAAGTTTTCTCCTTTGGTTGGAGCTTGGTTCGCCCATGGTCAAGTCTGGTCGGGCCCGGGCTAACCCCGTTGGTCGTTTCCTCTTTTCCGGTCGAAACAGACATTTTTCTCTTTTCTCTGAGCTTGGTCAGTCCCGGACCAGAACCACCACGTGTATTCATTCAATTTGTTCCTTTTTATCTTCTCTTTCCTCTTAGGTTTGGTCTGGTACAGACCGGGATTTGGTCCCGGCGGACCGGATCCGGTCCGCCCCGCGAACACGGTCGATCGGATGAGTTTTTGGTACAAAACTGACCTGGTCTGCCGGACCAATTTCTGGTCCGGGTCGGACCAGGCTTCCTCAGTCATTTTCCCTCGGTCTGGCGGACTAAAATTTTTTTCCCGGACTTGGTCCGGAGCTGACCAGCTCCTGGTCCGGCGGACCGGAACTGGGCAGTTCGTCCGTTCGCGTCCCAGGTTTCAGGACCGACTTCGATTGCTCGTAACTCTCTCATTTCTTATCCAAATCACGCACCGTTTGTTTCTAAATGTTCATTGGGATGTCCTCTTTAATATCAAAGCAATAGTTTATTTAACCATTATGTATACACGTTGAAAAATGATTCGTAATCCATGTACCTCGTGAACTCGCAACTCTGCAATTTCCAGTTTTCTTATCAGTTTTTATTCACGCATATCTCCCTCGTTTCTCAACCAAATTGAGTACCGTTTATTTCTAAATCTTCATTGAAATGTCATCTTTCAAACCCAAGCAACAAATCATTGAGATATCACGGTCACACGATGAAAATGAGAGTACACAGAAGCAACTCAAGCCACTCACCTCGTTCTTGAGTTTGTCCGAGCTTGTGGGTGTTCCTCGTGGCTCCACACGACGTGAGAAGCTTCGGAACACGTCTGGACACGTCCCTCTTGGTCTCCCCTAGCTCTCC